ACCGGGACTTCCGTGCCGCCTTCCGCCGGCTCCTCGCTGTCCCCCGCAGGTGGTGCTGGCACCGCACCTAGGCCCCACCAGGACACCAGGGACACAGGCCCCAGCCCCACTGTTGGGCTGGCAGCGCCCGACCCCACCACAGACCCTGGACTGCCACACCGGTGCACATCTCGAGGTACTTTTGGAAATGTGGGGTTGAATAAAGACCAAAGCCTGCACCTGGGGCTGGCATCTGCATCTTGTCAGCACCCATCACCAGCACCCGTCATCACCCAGGTCACCCCACCCACGCCCCTTGCAGTGTGGGTGACCCCACTGGTGGTGACAACTCGCCGTGGCAGCTCTGATGAATGCCAGCCCTCCCTGCTGCCAGGCGAACACCAGCTTCTCTGTACACCCTTAGTCCCCAGCACCCTTTTGCACAGGGGACGGGCCCCACGGCTGCTGGGGGTGGGGGGATGAAAGCCGCCATGTGGCAGTGTCACTGGCTGTGCTGCTGCTGCAGCCCAGTCCGAGCGCTGTGCCTCTCTGCCAGGGCTGTCCCCTCAGCACGTGAGGCATCTGTTGGAGGCACGTATGTACCCCACAGCGGGGTATGAGGGGGTGAGACACGCCATATCCTGCTTGGGGGCTTCACTGGGATATTGCTGCAGGAGGGAACGGAGGAATGACATCCCAGTGCCAGAAAGGCCATCCTCCCTTGGGAGAGCATGGGAGATGGGACTGTGTGGGAACAGGCTCCAGCACAGCCTGAGGTGCAAGGAGCCACGAGGGCAACCATGGAGTGAAAACTTGGGGGCAACCACAACCCCCTAGGGGCAGCAGCCGCCCCGTGCCCGCCCTGCCCAGCTCCCTGCCCTGCTCTGCGCAGACACCCGGGGGTCAAGAGCCGCTCCACTTCTCCAGCTTTGCTGCTTAAAATAGAAAATCTCAAAACATTGGACTTTCACTTGGCTAAAAACAGCTGCTGGCGCCTGGGAGCTGGAGCCCAAGGAACACCGGCCCCCATCAGCCCCCACCAGCCCCCGCCAGCCCCTGCTGGGGTGGGTACAGCTCAGTCGCAGGGCCCAGAGGGGTTGAAAAGGATGGGGGTACTTGCAGCGGTGAGGACCGCCGGGACATTCCCTGCACATGGAGGCTGGTGGCATGAGCTTTGAGACTAGCAGAGGCTCCCAGTGGGGATTGTGTCAGGATGAGGGACTGGCATTGACCCCCGGAGGCAGCTGGCCCCAGTGGCACTGTCTGCGGAAGGGGCTGCCCTATCACTGCTGCCTGGCTTCCCCTCCCGCGGCTGCCTTTCGCCTTTTCACAGTTAAACAGCATTTTGCTTCTAAAAATACACAGGGAGATGAGGGTGCCTGATGGGAACTCAACCAGGCCAGCTCGGTCAGGGAGAGGAGTTCTCCCTGAGGGGCACCAGCTATGTGGGCAGCACCCCGGGGCCCTGCGGTGCCCTGGCGTGTGCACCCTGCCCTCACCCTTGCCCAGCACCGCTGGGGCAGACCAGGGGACCAGGCACTGTCCCTCCTCCTGGGCATGGGTGTGCAGCTCCAGGATGCTCGCAGGGCAGGAGGGGCTGGGGACCAGTCGGACTGGTGGCATGGAGGGACCCCCCTGCTTGGGCAAGGAGACACCAGCACATCCAGCCTGTGCTGCCATCAGGCAACATCCAAGCCACCAAAGGGAGTTTCAGGCTGATGTCCAAAATATCAAATCCCAAGGGCTGGACGGGCTCTGGGAGCGCCTGGACCCCCCTTTGCCCCAGGCACTACCAGGGTGCTGGGGCGCTCTGAGGGGAGCTCCCCCGCTGAGCTCCCCCATTGGCATCCAGCATAACCTCCTGCCTGCAGCAGAGAGGTCTGGCAGGTCGCTCTGTCTCCCCACAGCGGCCCTTTCCATTCCAAGTTTGTACAAAGTCTGTTTTATCCAAGGGTACAGCATGACCCTTATTCCTGCCCCTCTCACAAGCCGACGTGACCCCCGTGCTGCTGGGGAAGCAGCTCCCCTCGAAGTGCTGATTACTCCTGCCCAACTGCAGGACCTGTGCTCATCCGCCTGGAGTTGCATCCTGCATTTTCTGGTTGTTTCTTCAACTTCTCAAGATTATTTTGAATCACTTCCCCGATAGGCTGGGGTTTGGAGCCCTCTCCCTCTCCACATCACCTCTGCAGAGCTAAAAAGCAGAGCGCTGGTTCCACTGGCCCAGGGGCTGCCACCAGCTCTGTTGGGGATACCAGGACTCCTCTGGACACTCGTGCTGCTCCAGCAGTGCCCCGCAGCTGATGACTCTTACCAGTGGTGGGAACGGTGCTGCAAAATGCCAGCTGGGAGGAAACCCGAATGTAGTAACCTATGAGTTATGCATGCAAATGCATGGAAACAAAGTCATCGCATTTGAAGCTCAAAATAAGTGCGTGCCACCTTTAAAAGGAAAGCAGCTCTAAAAGAAGAAAGCCGGCAGTGTGAGCTCATCGCTCGTGGTAGAGTGACACAGGAGATCACTTCCGAGGTATGGCAGGGCAAAGCATCCTCCTCGTTATCACTGTGGGTTCATAACCAGACGATGTGACACCTGATCTCCGGCGGATGCCAAAGGGCACTGCAGACCACAGTCAGTACCAATTGTACAGGCAATGAGGGCTTGGAATAATTATTGTTATTACCACCTTCACTACAGCCTGAGGACATAAACTTCTTCCCTCCTGCTCACTAGCACAGCCCTGCCGAGCAGGACTTGGGGGCCCAGCCTGGTCCCCACCACTAGGTCACCACTGACAGGGTCTGGTGGAGGCACCTGCCCATCACCACACACTCCTCCATGCCCCGGCCACCACCAACCTCGCAGCCAGGGCAGCCCCACTGCCACCTCCATGCAAGGTGGGAGGGAGGCATCACCTGCAGGATGGAGCAAGAGATGGGACCCATCGGAAGGCAGAGGTGATGCCCACACCTGAAAGCCAGAAGGGGCAGAAAGTGGGGCAGGCACAACTCGCTAACGGGTAAGAGGGTTAATGGGTGGTTTTACAGACAGGAGAAGCAGGGTGCCAGGCGGGTCATCTGCAGGGCTGAGAGATCACCACGACATGCTCGAGGAGGGCAGAGCTCTGCAAAGAAATCCATGACCTATTTGCTGGGGAGCAGGTGGGGAGAGGCTCCCACGCCACCCCTTGCCTTCAGACAGGGTAAGGCTGCAGCTGACTGGAGTAAATAAAACAGCAAATGGATGGAGGGACAAAGCCTGCAGGAGCAGCCACGGAGGTCAGCCCCAGCAGGGCGAGGCTGGCAGCACCGCACCCCCCAACGCATCAGGGGATGAGGAAACCCCAAACCCCCACCACAGCCACGATCGGTGCAGCGCTGGAGCTTGCGTCACCCGCGACACCGGGATTGACCAACGCCGGGACACAAAGACTTTACTGAGGCGATGGCAAACCCAGGGCCAGGCTGCAGAGAGAGGGCGGCTCCCCTGAGCACGTAACCGCTTTTAAGAGGAGCGCAGGCCACCTCAGGGAGGGCCGTGGGTCCCCACCGGCGGCGCGGCCGGTACGGAAAGGCGCCGTACGCGCGCGCTCCGTATGGAGCTTCACCCCCAGCACTCCCTTAATAAAGAGCCCCACGGCCCCACCCCCTACGAAACTCCCCTATCAGAACCCAGAAAGCAGCGGAGTGGCATCTCTCCACCCAATCAGATGCCGCAAAAGGCGGATCCCGATATGAGGTGGACGCCGTTAACTCTCGCCCAACCCGTTCCCGGAGTGGAGGCTGCGCTCTCTGAGTGACATCTCTCTGTCCAATCAGCACTCGCTCTCTCTTCCCGGCAGGGCTTCTCCAATGGCCGCCGAATGACGCGCGCTTCTCTCTTCCCGCCCCGCCTTCCCACACCCCCGCCCTCCGCGGAGCCAACGGGAGGGCAGCGGCGCGGTGGAGGGGGCGAGGCTTCCTGGGGGGCTGGGCCAATGGGAGCGCGGCGCGGGAGGAGCGTGGGCAGGCATTGGCGGGCTGGG